CGATATTCTAAAATATAATAATTTAGTTAATATTAATAATAAAAATCAAATTGATAAAAAATCTTGATTAAATAACCAATTATAAAATAGTTAAGAAATTTATACTAAAAAATAAACTTTCAGAATATTAATAAATCCAAAAAAGATTAAAGATTTGCTTAAAAAATTTTAATCAGTATATAAAACATTTTAAAATTCTATAATTTCTATTAATTATTCATCTATTCAAAATATTTGAATAGTTAAAATATTAATTTATCTATGGTTTGCTTTAAATTATTGAACTATTTTGATTTATAATTCCATACAGAATGATATGCAATAAATAAAAATAATTTTGCATTCAATAATTTTTTTTAATAAATATTTTTCGATAGTTAAGTCATTTAGAAATATTTTATTATTTATAAATAGATCAATATATTCAAAACATATTTTGAAAAAATGTTCTTTATTTTAATGTTATTGAATCCAGCAAAAATGTTCGCTCTAAGGATCTTGCTAGACTTTATTAAAATTATAAGATTATCATTGACTTTTTGTATAATCTTCGAGAAGCACCCTTAAGTTTATATAAATAATAAAGTTGTACTCACGTGTATAATATCCTTTATTTGTTTCTTTATATGTTATTATTGAAATGAGTTACATTAACATATTATCGAAACAGTTAGTAATTGGTATACTAAATATGATTACATGCAAATCGGTATTGGCGGAATCGTGTCAAATATGAATTGGGAGAAGCTATTAGAAGCGTTTCAAAACCTTAATATAACACTATACTATAATAATTTCGCATAATAATTAATTAATAAGATATAATTATATGTTAATAAGGCGTAATATAATCAAGGTTCATTTTCAAATCTGGAAGTATTGTATGATAGCTAGAAGAGTTGACTAGGTTTTATAGAAATATATATTTGATATCAATAAACCATTAAGAGTAGCATACAAATTATAGTAAGATTTGAAACGAGAAAAATAATAAAGAAGCAACAGGCAAATTTTGTTATCGGATTTAGAAATACGACATAGAAGAGAAATTTCTATTAAATTCTATTAGTTTTGACATAAATTGATAAATGGCATGTAGATTATTAATAAGCAAGTGAACTTTCAGCACTAATGAACTTTGAATCAAGCAATTAGAATAAAACAAACAATGAAATATTCGCAATAGTAGCAATAGATTGTCGAAAATCGGCTCAATTAAAATAAAAAATTTGTGTTAATTAATAGTAATATGTATAATTATCTTATTAGATAATTTAATTTGTTTAAATTATAAGTTTCAATATTTTTTTCTGCATGTGTTAGAGACAACAAATGAATTAAAATAATAACATTTGAAGATAAAATTAATTTTAAGTATATACATTCTGGCAATTTATTTTGTATATATATTTCATTTTAGTATACTCTTTTATTATCGTTCTGAATAACATTGATTAGCACTTCAATTTTATGCAAAATAAATAAATATGCATGTAAATGATTACAATAAAGAAACAATAATAAAATTTATTACATCAATAACAACGATATAATTTATTACAAATATAATCTTTAATACTTTTTAGATTTTTTTTGCCTGGCGGAAATTACAGATTTAACATCTATATAAAATAAATTCTTTTTTTAATTATAAATATTTTGATTTTATAATATTAATTTATTAATAACTTATTATATATTGAAATGTATAAATATTGAATGTATCATTTTACTAAAATGAAATTATTCGTTTGGTTAATTGAATTAATAATTAAACCATAGGTAAACAACTTTAAAATATATCTATAAAATATAATATATCTGTATCTATCTATAAAAAAAAAAAGCTCTGCTAACTACATTTTATTAGTGTTGAAAACATTTGTTTCAATATATTTAACTGAATTGTGAATGAATTATATGATTCTCAGAGATTTTTTTTATACCACTATTTTTAATATATTAACAATGTTCAAATGAATAGATGTACATTATCATATAAATATCCATCAAATTATATAGCTAAGCAACAAATTAATTAAAATAAATTAAATGTATCCAATTTCATGTATATAATATAAAAATATTTATTAGCTAGGTAAGGAAAAGCCCAAAGTAAAAGAATTTTAGTTTTATGTCCAAATAAAATTATATACTAGATTATATACTATTATATACTAGATTGATGAAAAATTATACAATTACTTTTGTAATTGTGCTGGCTAATTTAGCAAACATTTTAATTAGCCTACTAGTCGGTTACTTGTTTAAGAATTGCTTATTCAGAGGGTGTGTGTGTGTATACAAACATATATATATATATATATATATATATATATATATATATATAAGATTATTTATTTTTTTATAACTTTTATTAATCATTTAAAGACATCATAAATTGAAATATGTAATATCATAATATTCAATAATTAAAAGAAAACAAGTTGAAACGCAGCTAAATGTAAAGTAAGAATAATACTAATTAATGGGATTCAATTTTTAATAAATATTTTGATAAATTATATCAACTGTATAATTATAAAAGAATAGAAAATGTAAATCTATTTTAATAAAATCATTATTTATGAATAATATTTGATATTAAAAATTGTAATTGTAATTTTAATTCAATATTTAATAGCAAATTCAGTTTCATTTTATATAGGACAAAAATTATTTACTTTTTATATTTACATTTGTATATTATGTATTAAATTGCAATATTTTATCGCAAATTTATAGTGTTCAAACAAAAATAAATAAAATATTTAGGAAAGCTAATGTTATATAAAGCTAGCATCATTTAAAAAGTTCATAACATTTGTACAAAATCAAATAATTAAAACAATATAAATAATACTTTACCTTAATTGGTAAATTTTTTTATTTATAAATTCCTGTTTTTGATTATTATTATAGTCTATACATTTAATTTAACAGCACCTGTAGCTTGTGACACCTTACGAAGATATGTTAACTGAAAGAATATTTATTTTAAAAAAATAATTTGAACAGCTCAATTACAGAAATGATAATTTGTATAAAATAAAATATAATGTTGGAAAATTATTTTAATGTTAGATTTTTATTTTTAACCATAACAACTTGAAGGAATGAGAATTATTTCGACTTCTTTGCAAAAATTCCATTTTACCTAATTAATTTTTTATTTAAGCAAATTATTATGAAAGTTTATTCAAGTTATTTTGCTACACAAAGTAACTTAAATAATATTATTGATGATTGAATTTTAATAATTTATATTTTTAAAATCAGATGCAACTATGACATACAAATATTACAAAACTATTAAGTAAACTTACTTATAACATATTATTAAATAATTACAATACATTTCATTCGTTTCAAGGTTTAATATTACAGGATCTATTTTATTATAAAAAATAATATTGATATATTAACTGTCATATATTATATAATATATGCAATAATTGAATTATACATTCAAACAAATATATGACTTTAAAAAACTCTGCATAGTAATTTGTATAAATAAAGATAACAAACACTTTTATTTCTTTAACAACGTTTAAACATGATGCTCACAACAAAGAATAATTCACGAGCTCGCAATAAAATGTCGAAATATCTCTAATATTATGTCAGTAGTATACGAAGCTACGTCAATTTCGCACTTCATGCAAGCAGTAATAAAAACAAAATATTCGTTATAAAATAACGGGAGCACCCGTACTTACAACTTTTTTCAATCATATCTATACAGCTTAATGAATAGTTCGGTACTCTTAAAATTTCATAACCACACAAAAACATGTCATTCAAAATTTAATTAAGAATGAAAATTTGTTTTGAATGGTTGTGAGCGATGACACTCTCAGAGAAAAACATTATATTTCTGAATATAAAATAAATAACTTGTTAAAATATTATCTATTTAAGTACGTATTTAAGGAGAAAGCGTTAAAAAAAAATATTCAAAATGTTTTGAGTATATTTTAATAACAATATATGTGTGACCAAGCGTATAAAAATATAATTTACACATTTTGGAATTGATACTTGTTTTATATATTTGTACTATTGCTTTGCTATTTTCCGAATTGAAAAATTAAATAATTGTTCTCGATTTTTCAAATAATATATCGAATATATACATTTTATAAGTTTTTATAATAATTTTTAAACTCAAAAATGCATTTTATTATCTGTCGTATAAAGAACAAATTGCTTTTGTAAAAATGGAATATATATATATATATATATGGAGAGAGAGAAAATTATAATTACATCATTCTTGTTTCGTAGTTATCAAATTAAATTGAAACTAGTTATACAGTAAAACGACGGATCATTTAACTGCGATTCAGAAGGATTTATAGAGTAGAGTTAGTCACTGGCGGTAAAGTAATTTCAGCTAACACCGTGTGTTAATTTATCTAGGAGAACATTAACTTATAATTACAGAATTTAGATTTCTATTTGGTCCTTACCTTATTTATGAAGCTTTAATTTAATATCGGAAGCAAATAATACTCGCAATTATTGTTCTCAGGTTCGTTAAAATTTTTCTCTGAGTGTTCACCTACACACATGCACATGTATCGACACATGCGCGCACATACCAACATACCGACAGAAACGCGCCCATGCCCACAGACGTACCGCAAACATTAACATTAAAATATTTGTTTTCAACTTTATCATTAAATGACAAGATAAAGTGAAGATTGTGGGTGCAGTTCTTTGTTTCGAAGCCTTTCAATGTACATTTAAATTTATTGAGAGAAGAGTAGTATGCCTCTCTAAGAGTGACTGATTGGACTGATTCATATCAAGACTATAAGATATCCCCCCCCCCCCTCTCTCACTCACTCTCTCTCTCTCTCTCTCTCTCTCCCTCTCTCTCTCTCTCTCTCTCTCTCTCTCT